GGGGGGGGGGGGGGGGGGGGGGGGGGGGGGGGGGGGGGGGGGGGCAATTCCTGAACATGCGGAACTCCAGGAAATTGTTCCTATGGGGTGCCTTGTTTGTCTCATGCATGGCTGTGTGCGGCGTCGCACACAGGTGCTCAGGAGGTTTCCCCTGCAAGCGGACGACTCCCTACGACTGCCAGCACCCGCCCCATTTCCTCATTCCGCGCCCATGAAACCTTGCGCGCCTGACCTGCACGAAATTACGCCGCCATCAATTGGTGCGCCATCACAACCCAGGCTTCACTGGACTCGTTGCTCGAGGAGATCGAAAAAATGCCCTCATTCGACGAGGCCGGGAAAAACAACAATGGCGGACGCGCAGCGGCGGCACCCCCCGCGGCCGCCTACCTCTACCCGCCGGTGCCCTACGCGCGCTTCATACGGCCGGCTGCCCTCGCCGTGTCACACTTTCATTCGGTGCTCTCCCGCGGGGCCGCGTGGTGGGGAGGAGGGGGAGCAGGGACGAAGAAATTTCCGCCGCCGGCGTCGTCGTCGTCGCGGAATCGCTCGCTTGCGGGCCATTCGGGGGGCGGCGATGCTCCGAGCGCCGGCGGAAGGGGTCTCATGAGCATGGGCGAGAGTCTCGGGAAGTCCTCGTCGTCGTCCCGTCGGGTCGGTGTTGGGGGAAGGGGCGGGGGGGAGGAAGCCGCCGCGCGAGTCATCGTCGGCAGGAAGCGAGAGCGCTCGCGACACAACGTCGTTGGTGGCCTCAGGGGCGGCGGCGCCAGCGGTGTCAGCGGCGGCGGCGCCAGCGGCGCGCTGGGGGGAGGGGTTTCTTCACTGATGATTTCGTTGGACGAGTTCCACGCAAACCCTCGGCTGCGCTTTCAGCTGCTGCTGAGGGAGCAGGGGATCGTGGTGCAACTCTTCGAGGCTATGTCGACGGTACGTGGTTGCAGCCTCGACGTTGAACCGATTGCCGTCGATGCGACTGGCGGGGTACGGCGTGGCTTTGCTGTTGCGCTGGAGGCCTCGTGGTGACACCCAGCGGATGCTTGTCATTGATTGTGCCCAGCGCCCCCGGTCGGTTGGCATGTAGACTTTCCCAGTTCTGGGATAATCGGTTTTTCGAATAGCCACAATTGTCATTTTTCTTGGCGAATTCCTTGTTTCTTTGTAGGGGTAGCACGTCCCTCGTGCACGTTCGTGCAAAGAAAGACCAACGCCGGTGCCATCTCCACCACCACCTCTGTTGCACACAAAATGAACCGGAGCGGAACTCGCTATGTCTCTCCGACTCGCACGTATCCTGCTTCCGTTGCGACGCGTGTGTCCGTAGATTTTTCGGGCGCAGGACGGTATCCTCGCGCGTCATCTCTGGTGGGACGGCGACGCCAAGGAGAGCGCAAGCGGCTCCACCTCTATTGCCCCTCCGGCCTTCAAGAGTACGACCCCACGCTCTGGTGCGACGCGCGTCGGAGGTACGGATGTCGGCGGCGGCAGCAATACGGACGAGTGGGAGATGAGGAGGGACAGGTCGGACGCGCGGCACTGTCTGCGGCAATTCGTTGTCCAGGCAATGGCGCTGGCGGACTTCTTCGCCAGGGACAACCCGCGAGGAAAGGTATGAAATGGAACGAAAAAAGTCGACACGTTCGTACGTGCTTACACCTGCTGTGTTCAGCTGTACTCTTGGACCGGTGAGGGTAACACCCCGCCCCGAGCAAGACGTCTCTTTCCCTCCCCCCCCCCATTTCTTTCTACCTNAACGGGGATAGGGGGGGTAACAGCCCGAGAAGAGCATTGCGGCACGAGGTTTTATACTTGTGTTTTAGTTTGAGGTCGCCGGGCAGCGGATTGCCCGTTTGCGAAGAAACCGCTTCCCGTTTACGAACGGGGGCCTTGTCGTGATGAAATTCAGAGAACAATGGCTCTAGTTTGTACTTGATGGGTGGAGGGGGCGACTAGGGAGCGATCAGGCTTGGACTTCGCCCCGCCAAAATGAAAAGCGAATTCGTACTCAGAATGAACAACGACTGTCCACGGTGCCAGAAACAGTGCTGTTCTGCGCGAGCCTTGTGCTTGATGTCTTCCGCAGGGAACCTGCAGCGAAAACATCGATTTCAGTGTGATGTGGGATCAAATGTAATAGTTAATGTTGTAGTTAGGATCACTGCTCGCTCTCTCGACCTAAATATATATCTCTCCCCCTCTCTCTCTGCCCCCTTCGCTCCCTCTCTCCCTCTCTCCCTCTCTCCCTCTCTCTCACACACACGCACATACACATACACATACACATACACATGCACACACAAGTACGACTTTTTTCGCTCTGCTGATGCTGCCGCGGCTGATGTCGATATTACGCCTAGGCTGTGCTTGAGAACTTCACTCCACTGCTGCGAATGTTGATCGGGAGCGGCCTCGGCGCGTGTGAGGTGCTGGCGACCATCAGAAGGGACAACCCCCGAACCTACGCGGTTGTTACGCCGGCACGCATCCAACAGGTGACTCTACCTGTAGCAAGCTTTCACGTCGTGACGCATCGACTTGTGATTCAAGGGAGAAGGCTGTGGAAGGGAGGGATCCGCTATAGTTGTATCATGAAGACGCGATGGGTTCACTGCTTCGCCGCGTGTTGGTGATCACGCATTGTCTTGTCAACCCCTCTCTCGCGTTCTCTTTGTTGTTAACTTGCCAACCCTTTCGCTGTGTCATTTTCCTCAGGCGCGTATCTGTTCGTTGGTATCCTCGCCATCCCCAACGAGACAAAATGTGAAGAGGACCATTTTTCAGAAAGGTCCACTCGTAACTACTGCAAGGGAAAAATTGGTCGCGTCGTCGTGTCTCCTGCAGTCTGAATGAGATCTGATGAAAAGTAGAAAGTGCATCCTGCGACGAAGATTGAAAAGACTCGCATCGCCGAAACACCTGTCCGTACCTCACGTGCGCCGCGTTTCGGACCACGCCACGCCAGATCCTCGCGACACTGCCGGAATCACGGGACCTCGCCAACAGCATGCGCCTGCTGCGCAGCATCTGCAAAGTGGGGCATTCGCTGCTGCCCTCGATACAGCGCCTTGTCGCGGTAACGGTGCTCGTGGGCGTCGACACGGCTGCCGCTGCTGCCGCTGGGAGGGCTGCCGGCGGAGGCAGCGAGTTCGGCAGGAGCCGCGCCTTGGGCGGCGGCGGCGGCGGCGGCGGCGGGAGCGGGCGTAAGGACAGCGATGAAGGCGACGGTAATGGAGAGCACGGTGTGTCCGCTGCTGCTTCGCAAGGAGGAGACGGCGGCGGCGGCGGCGGTGGCGACGATGAAGCTAGCCGACGAGTAGGGTCAGATTCACGGGAAGGAGTGGAAAATCACCTTCTCAGAAACCCTCGCAGCTTGTTCAGGTACGAGCTCATTCGGGACATGGATGTCACCCCCAGCGATGTCGATGCTTCTGGTGCTGCTGCCAGTGGTAACGACAGCGACAGCGGGAACGGTTCTGGAGGTACTCTTGCCGGCGGCGCCTCCGCCTCCCGCCCTTCATTGACACCATCGGCCTCGGAGAGCAGCCGCGGCAAGGCAAGCAGCAACAGTAGCCGCGTCAAAAGCCAGCGACGGAAACCATCATTGCCAGGCGCTTCGGGCACCAACTTCCGGTCTGCCGATGGCACCAATGGCATCCGTGTGAGGCTGAAGCGGCTGGTCGCAGGGGTGTCCATGGGGGAACAGCTTCGCCGGCGGCGTGAGATGCTCAACGGGGAGACGCGGGTCTCCTCCGGGGAAGGCGTTATCTTCGAGGCCGTGCAGGAGGGGAGCGGGTCGGCGTCGCGGACCGTGGTCCGGGTGCTGAGCAGGTGCGTATCCCCACACAGCGCGTGTGATCTCCAAGCAGGGAACCTGTTTCCGACACGAGGAGGCTTTTGTTGGAAACGGCATGCCTTTCCTGTTACCGGCACGTAGCCGTGCCAAGTGTTTCTCTAACGACTCCTTTGGCATTGGGCAGCTTCTGCGGCCTGTTGTGAAAGCAGAATGTGGGCTGTAAGTGGCCTTGTCGGATAGCCTTGGCGGATCAATGAAGCCTTCGGCGGACGGTTATGATAAGTGGAAGAGTGCAACATGCAGTCGCTGGTGGGGTAGAACGGGGCTGGCCATAGAATTATCAGCGGACCGAGCTCGCTCTCTCTTATTTCTCATTTCTCACCTTGGTTTCTTCCTGCCGTGAACCCACGTAAATCGAACGCCTGTTGGTAGCAGGGGCGGGGCTGGGGAGCCTCCGGTGGAGGGGCCGTGGGGGGCGAGGGGAAGCGGCCGGGGTGCCGGACCTAGCTCGGCCGCCGGGGACCTGCTTGAGCTGTTCGTGGAGTCGGTGAGGCTTCTGGCATCGCTGTGCCAGGAGCGGCACGAGGGGAACATTGCGCTCGTGCGCTCCCTGAAGGGCACGACCTACAAGGTTTGGAGTTTGTTTTCTTGTGGTTTGTCTGCGATGCTTGCGATTGGCCGTGGCTACCCGGGTGCGAGTGACTGCGGTGTGCACGTTATGCATGTGCGTGGAAAGAATACGTGCGTGAAAAACTCTTGGGAGACTGTTTTGCGTGTGTCGCGCGCGATGGATGTTCATGGTGGAAGGTTACTTCTCAACCCCCGAGTGTTTTCCACCCGGAGGGCAGTATGACGCTTTGCAGCACGTCGGCGTGACCGGGTTCACGCATCATCCCGCCCGCGTTATGTCCACCGCCCCCTTCCCGGGCCCGATTTGCTTTCCCTACGTCCGAGCGTTGCTCGCGCGACGCTGTCCTTCCTTCCGATCGACCGCCCGTTCGTCTGCCTGCCCGGCCATGTATTCGTCCGCGTTCAGGAGCTGATGGAGGTGGTCAGGTCTGAGACGGTGCCGCCAACCGTTCGAGCCGCATTCGCCCAGCTGCTGGAGCACTGTCACCTCAACGTGGCCCCCCTCCTTCCGCGGCCTCCCGTCAGGTAGGACCGTGCGGCTTGGTAGTAATAGCCCGCTATGCCCTCTGCTCGATACCTTCATGTCCCGGGACGTTAAGTTGAGGGAAGAGTCCTCGCGGTGACAGCTTTACCCGAAGGCAGCCGTGTCTCGAGAGAACTACAGGTTTGTCTTTACTTCATCATTAGGTGATCCTAGTTTGTACAATACCGGTGAGGTCTTGAGTTTGCCTCAACGTTCAATTCTAGCCAGTGCCTCCTTGCCCGGATTCAGTGACACGATGACACACGTTTTGGTGCGGATATTGCCACGAAAACTTTCGCAGGTACGTCAGGCTCAAAGACGATGACGACGAAGACACCTGCGACAGCAGTAGTGACGACGTCGATGACGGCGATCAGTCATCCTTCTCGGGAAGAGGAAAAGGCCGAGCCAATGAACGAAAGGTAGATAACATGGACTGGATTTGCGCGAAAGATACTCGGTTTTTCGATTTTCCACCCGAAGGCAAATCTCCACGCTTATTGTTTTTCGCTTAATCACTTTAGCTGCATTTCTTCTGTGTGGGTTGTGTTTGTTTCGTTTTTTTTCTTCCAAACAGGGGAGACAAAGTCCTCACGAACTGAACCCGGTCTGGAACGATGTACTGCGGAACGTGAAACGTTACCCCAGGACATTGTCCGCAGTCGCGTACTCGCACAAATCGAATGCCCCTCGAAACCCGCCGTATGCTAAACACGTATCTTTGAGTGATTGCTGTGTCATCGTCCGCGACCAGGCTCTGTGAGGTTTTTGAGGTTGGCACATACCCCGGACAGCGATTTCTCGTCGAGGGCTGGTAGATCGCTTCATCACCTCGGTGTTGCTAAATGTGTCGCGGGTAGGGAATCCCGGAAAAAATATTTTCAAACTCGCGTCAATCCCGTCGCGGAACGGGAGGGTTTTTGTTTGTGTGAATGCGTACCGATTGTTGATGTTCGCTACTCTCCGTTGTGTGCCATTTCCTTGTTTGCGGATGTTTTTCTCCGTCTTCCTCTATCCAGCCTGTGGTCCTGTCTTTGAGTTGACCTCTTCTTTCCTTATTCCTCCTCTGGAAAACCATTTCCTGATTGGGAGTATGGATGCATGCGTTTCTTTCTCTCTTCTCTGTTCCTTTCTGCGCGGTATTTTTCCCGAGCCGCAGGACAGCGCAAACCCGGTAGACCAGGGAGTGCCTGCTGTAGATGCCGCCGAATCCGCCGAGGGAAAGAGTGAAGACACGAGGAAGATCGACGAGGGCGAGGAGCAACGCGAACACCTCAGAGAGGCTCTCGAGGTAAAGCCGACCTTGGACGGGGTTGTGTGGGTGCATTCAGGGAAGGTGGAAGAGCACATGGTTTTGCGGCGATTGATTTTTATTCCTAGAAGGAAGGCCAGCTCTGGCACGTGGAAGAACCGTGCTCTATTGTGTTGCGCAGTCGAAAGCCGAACCCGTAGTGATTTATTTGTCCTTTCTGTAGCATCGCCGCCGTGCCCTTTTCGCTGTATTCGTGTGACATTTCTTGACCCACTAGCCAACGCGGACGTGATGGACATTCGGTCCATCCATTTTTCGTTTTCTTTTCTCTGGCGTCGAGAGAGCAGTTCGTGCAGGCGTTCGTCAAGAAGCACACCCGACCTGGTGGTACGCTGCAAATCGACCAATGGAACTCCGGGTGAGTCGACAACACTACCATGAGAGAAAAATGTGTTTACCACGTAGCGGCGGGCAGTAGATTCCCTTCCTGCGTCATTCTCTAGAGGAAGCGTTTCTGGGTGGTCCAGCCGATCGCATTCAGCTAATATTTGGCGGGCCCGGGTTAGAAATGCTTCGTGTATTCTTCCAAGCTGTTGTTCCTTGAGCGTGGCGAATCCCGGGAGTAGGCGGGGATTGTTATGCGCGCGGTGCGGTGCACGCCCTGTGTCTGCCCTATGGCCCGGGTGATGCGGAGAGCCGGGTGGGAGGCGCACCACATTGAATAGGACGTTTTTTTCTGGTCGGAATATCCCTGAAGGCCTTCGTGGGTGAACAACCTTTCGTGGGTACCGACGTCACTCGATAGTGTTTTGCGTTAATGTGCAGTCTACAAGTCTTTCTTTGCACACGTGACAAGCGATTCGGCGTTTTGTGCGATCGCCGTGTTTGCACGGGGCCTACGAGTGACTCATTCAAGAGTTCCCCTGTTGTGAACTTGGTGGTTCCTGTGGTCCTTGATGCGCCTTCACATCCAGCAGATCACTCTCTTATCTGCCACACCTAGCGTGTCTCGCTGTGCAGCAGCCCATGCGGCAGGCAAGATGGTTCGCTCCGTGGCCACAAGCTAGCTGTATGCGGGAAGGCGGGGGTGTTGCCGTTTCCAAACGAGTTCGATTGCGTGGAAGCGAGACGGGACTAGAATTTACCATGCCTGCAAGGCTACCCCTGTGATTTTTGTTTCTCGGGATAACCACAAACCGGCCTCTCGTGCGGTACCTTGTGCGCTGTCCTTGCTCTGACAACAGCGGCGGGGATAGATTGATGGACCAGCATTGGGATCCTCTCGACGTGGAGGAGCTTTCGCAGGGCGGCAGCGGCGTCGGCAGCAGCTCTTTCCTTGCGGACTCTTTTCACGAAGTTTTCGATGTGAGATACAGTACTTCAGTGAGTGCTAAGAAAAAATCAGCGGTCGAGGGCCAGTCGAGTTCATGTTTTGATAACCACGACCGTCGGTGTCGATCGTGCCGATTGGCCGCATACATATGGTTAGAGGCCTTGACAGCAAAAGCTGAAGGAGGCAGGCGGTAGTACAGTGAATCTTGGTGCTGCATGTTCCTGACGAGCACTGTGTGGCCTTCCCGAGATGGTGTATGTCCTCTGCCGAGCACGACCGCTGTGCGTGTCGCAATTGCAAGTAACTTTCATTCATGGTTGAACTACAAGGGTGAAAGCACCCCCGAACCATTCGAAATCCTATCCCCTTTTCCCTCTCATCCCCCCCAAAGTACCGTTGCTTCGTCTCGATAGGAGCTCATCATTCACGTCAAACGGCCATGCGGGCAACAACTGAAGATTGATTCGCCCCACGTCGTGTACGCTCCGCCCCTTGATGCTGAAAACTGCCTTGCACGCAGCCCACACTGCGCCAGAAGCAGCTGCAGCGGCAGCGGCGGCCGTCGGCCTCCGGCAACGGCTTCTCCAGGCCCGACACTACCCCAGCGCTAGCGGCGGCGTCTTCCGCGACATCAGTTCACACACACATGCACGCGCCGCCGCTGTCGGCGATGTCGAAAGCCCTGCAGCTGACGGAGAACCTCAAGCTCCTCGGCGCGGTGCTGTCGCTGCTGCGCCTGACGCTCGACCTCCTGGGTAGGCAGCCCTTGGGCACTGACCCGTCCGCGGAGCTGTTTAGACGGCTGTGCTCGCTGCTGGAGTTCTTGGAGGACGTACATGAGATGCGGAGCGAGTTTTTGGCGGCAGGAGGGGCTAGGGGCGACGCGGGAGGAGGAGGAGGTGGTGGCGGCGGGGGGGGGGG